GCTTTTGTGCGGGCTCCCTTGTCGGGCTTACGGCAGAAAAGGGTTAATTTGAGCTGAGCAGCGTGAGACACTCCGTTAGCCCGGCTCTGGGTGACCAGTGCGGGCAGCTCTGTTCCTCTTATGCTTCATTTTTTTGGGGTGTTTGCTTTGTTTTGTTTCGGTTTCGGCTCAACGAGGCCTCGTGGTGAGCAGCGCCGGCTCATGCCGGTTCGTTTCTTCCTTCCCCGCAGCCCACAGATGCCGTCTGCCTCGGCCTGGCCTGTCCCGGGAGCCCCTGTTCCCAGGGAGCCTGGTGGCATCGGGAGAAACAGGAATGGCCCTTCCCTTGAGGGGAGAATAGCAGGGGGGAGTTATTATTTGGTTATTGTGTGTCAGTGCTATTTAAAAAAAAAAATAGTTGATACTTTGTGTCTTTCTAAATTCCCTGGTTTTTGATGAGATGAGGCAAGCGGCAGGTCAGGAGCCATGGAGGGTGGGAGAGGGCTGGTGTGAAGTGGGATGGGTTGGGTGTTACCTCGTCCCGGGTGTTTTTGGGGAAGAATTGTCATTGCAGACACAGTGCCTGGGTGACACAGCATCTGAGTCCTCTGTAGCTGTATAGCAAGTTAACATTTAAATAAAATGATGTTTCATGGTAACAGCTGTTTGGTGCTGGTGCTAATTAAATGTCTAAATATTGTCTAGCAGTGGAAAAAATGAGCATGTAGACCCACTGGCAGGTAAGTGAAGTCCCTGAAGCGTGTTTGCTTGGTGCCTGTTTGCAGAAGACTGTATTTGACAAGTGTATTTTAGCACCTTTTATAATTAAATAAATCTTATGATGTTCTTTGTCCTAATTTTTTGTTTTTATCTCTTCCACACAGTAATCGTGCAATAACGTTTATATTTCTTGCAGGGCCTGTGGAAAGAAAGGTGCTTGTGAATCTTCAGAAGTTAGATGTGGCTCAGGATAGTCTGGGCAACTATGGTTTCTTCACTTTGATTTACAATCAAGGCTTTGAAATTGTGATAAATGACTACAAGTGGTTTGCGTTTTTTAAGGTGAGTTAACTTGGTGTGTTCTGCATCACTGACTCGCTAAAATGGCCTGTAGTTAGGCTTCTCTTTAGTCTCTAAGTGTCATGGTGGGGCAGTTGGAACACTTGGTTATCTTTGGCTCTAAAATTTGCCTGGCTTACTAGATAAAGGTGGGTTTTTTTTTAATGTAAGGAAACAGTTATCAGTGGCTGGGTAGAGAGCAGAGGGAGGGAAGAAGTATTTATATTCTATGCTGTGTGTTATTTGAGAAATATGTTACAGATGCTGCTGCTTTCCCTTCTGGGCATGCTTAGAGCAGTTGAAGGCCTTCACTCAGCTAATGCTCCCAGTGGCCTGGAAAATATTTTTCTAGTTTTCTTCCTGACACCTTAGACCCAAGTGAAATAGCAAACATCATTGCTTTTATCTTTCCTTAAAGATATTCTCAAATGCATGAAAACTTTAGAAAGGCCATCTGCATTCCTTGCTGGAGGATTTCTAGGGTCTTTAAATTTTATCCTGGAATACTACTTTTAACATCTAAGGATCCTTCCTGCTGCCTATAATTATTCTTTTGGAATAATACTGTTATCTCCAGTCCCTGTTAAAGATTGAGATCAAGCTGAAAACAGTGCTGGTAGGCAGGGGGTAGACAGGTGAAGACCTACTTGCTAAGGAGCACTCTGCTATTGTCCTGAGGAGTGGCATTATGAATTTGGGAGATGGCTTGAAGCAATCTCTGCAGTACGACTGTGCTACTTGGGAGACAGGTGTTTTGTGCAACAGGACTGCTCAGATGGTGAGTGCAGCCCTTGACAGGAGCAGTGAACGTGTTTCTTGGTTGTTTCAGGAAACATGATCTCGTGTATGTCTTCAGATGAGCTGATAGTAAACATTCAGACTTTGTCCAAACATAAAGTCTCTGAACCTTGACTAGTAGGAAGGAGAGTGAAGGAATGACTTTTGCTTTAAGTTGCCTTACTTGGAGCCATTGTAGATTGCTTAAATCACAGCAGCGATTTTAGTCCGTGTTTTCAGATTTGTTAACAAAAGTGAACGATCTGCTCTTCCTGGAGGACCCTAACCTTTATTAAATAGAAATGAAGTGGGAGTCTCTGACTTAACTGCGATTTCCTCCATGACAATTTGAACTTGCTTAAGGGCAAGGGCAGTGTGAACTGTTGTTTCAGGAGACTAATGGTGAAGTTGTTTACATACTCTTTGTCTTGTGTTAACCCCATTAGGCAGCCAAGCACCACGCAGCCACTTGCTTACTGCACCCCCCCCCCAGTGGGATGGGGAAGGGAATCAGAAGGGTCAAAGTGCAGAAACTTGTGGATTGAGATAAAGACAGCTGAATAGGTAAAGCCAAAGCTGTATGCAAGCAAAGCAAAATAAGGAATTCGTTCACTACTTCCCACCAGTAGGCAGGTGTTTAGTAATTTCCAGGAAAACAGGGCTTCATTATGTGAAACTGTTATTTAGGAAGTCAGATGCCATAACTCTGAATGTGTCCCTTTTCTCCTTCTTTCAACTTTCCCTAACTTTTATTGCTGAACAAGATGTTGTATGGTATGGGATGTCCCTTTGGTCAGTTGGGGTCAGCTGTCCCAGCAGTGTCCCCTCTCAACTCCTTGTGCACCCCCAGCCTACTTGCTGGTGGGTAATGTGAGACGCAGAAAAGTCCTCGACTCTGTGTAAGCACTGCTCAGCAGTAATGAAAACATCCCTGTATTATCAATTCCCTTCCCAGCACAAATCCAAAACAAGGCACTGTATGAACTACTATAAATAAAACTAACACTATCTGCCAAAACTAGTGCAGTTTATAACTGTAAACTTTTAAGAGGGATGCTTCTGCATAAGACAGTCTTACACTTGAGCAAAAGCAAAATGTGAGAGAGAAGTACCTGATTGACATCCTCTTATCTGTATAAGGTAGTGACACTAAATTGCCATGGTGTGCACTCAGATTTGGCAGGTGATACAGCAAAAACTATGGATGCTGAAGTGTACTCTAACTGGACAGAATTACTCTGAAACTTTTCAGGCAGGGACACCTCTGCAAGCTTTTCTACACTGGGAGTGCCTGCCTCAAAAGTGACAGGAATTGCTGCCTCCCTGAGGACAATGGAGCAGTGTATCTTGTAGTATTGTCCATGAAATACGGCTTGAGGTGTCACCTCTGGCAGGTGGAACTCAGCAGTCATTGCTGGCCTTGGTGGATTCATCTGATGAGAAATATAGTTGAAGTAGTGGGCTGGGAATCCTTAGGCTGATATTTTACACTGAGTAAAGCAGAGTTGCTTTATAAGCCAGTATGGTGAGCAGTTGAAACAAGTGTTGATTATCAAACTAACTGTTGAACCTGAGGAATTTAATCATAGAAACAGTCAGTGGCCTGCTCTGGAATGTAAATGGGGCTGTGAAGCACCAACTCAAAGACAATTGAGAGTCAGTGAAGGCTCTACTGCTGCTATCTATACCTTGTGAAATACATCCCTGGCAGGTGAGCACTAAGTCAAGTGACTGATAAGCACTGATCTCTTGTCTTCCTCTGTGCTTATGAAAATGTAAATGCATTGATTTGCAAGAATACTCTTAAACAATGTACCAAATCAGTGCTACAGAATAATTTAGGCTGGAAGGAACTTCTGGAGGTCATCTCATCCAACTTGCTGCTCAAAACTAAGTCAGTCAGATATACACCTGAGCAGTAGCAATGTGCAGTAGCTTGCATTTCATGGTCATGAATGTGTCTTAGCCCTTCGTAGGCAAGTGGATTAATTGCTGGTTTTGAAGTTGCTTTTGGTATTCAGAAACAGTGAGCTTGTTCAGCTCATCGTTCAGTAGTAGGGGTTCCATCAGCAAGACATGATTAAAGTAAAGACTTCTTAAATATTATAGAGAGAATTAGAGCCTAATTCATTTACCCTCTCTATAATTTTGCTGCTGTAAAGGAAACAACAGATTATCAAGATGTATGTATAATGGCTGAGAAGCATGAGGAAATGCACAGCACTTAGTAAATACGTTTTTTTCGTGGCAGACAACTAGTTGACTTTGTTAGGCAACAGCTTGCAATACTGTCCATCTGCAAAACTGTTATTTCACAGTTGTCAGTAGGAACTCGGGGAAGAAGGGGCTCTTTACAAATTGCTTGACCTTGTGGCATTTGTAGATATGTGTGTCTGTTTACTTTTAAGCCAGTAAATAATTGCATTATGTATGAAATATAAATACAAAATATCTAGTCCTGGTATAAACTAAAAATGTGGTTTCTTCTATCAAATAGAGTTAATGCTCTTTTAGGACCTATAATCTACTCTAAAGCTTCTAGGGGACAAATAACATGCTCAATGTGTGCTTCAGAGAGTTTTGAAGAATGATTGCCTATTGTTTAAAATACTCCTACCATTTGCACCTGAAAGTAATGTAAACATAGCAGACTTCATTTGCTTAGTGTTGATCATAATCTTGAAGCCCTTGCAGTAAAATAGGGTAAACTAGAGTGCTAATTTCCTCCCTGGAAATGCAGTAAGAGGAAAGCATAAAACATCTCTTAGAATATTACTTAGCTTTGATTGCTATTGAGAATGTGGAAAGTCATTAGACTCAGTCCCTTTGGAATTCATGGAAGGGAAGAATTATCTTTGCTGGCACTCTCTTGCTTTACTGCAAGAAGGTACAGAACTAGTATGTTTAATATGGGGTTAATTTAATTTTTAGTATTTGCTAAAATTACTTTGTTTCACTCTGAAATAACCTTCCAATGTGAACACTGTTCTGGAGTTTATAGCTTGATTCTGGAATGACTCCTTGGTTCATAGAGCAGTTTATGGTGGTGGTTTCCAAAAGAAAGATTTCATGCTGACAGGTTGTTTCAGAAGAGCAAAATTGTTACTCCCCAAATTCAAAATACTGGGTTTTGTTTCAGTTGTTATAATGTAATAATTAGGCAGAAAATAAGACTCTGAAGTTGATCTCATACCATGCTTAGAGTTCTGCTCTTCTGACAATGCTTACAGGTATTGGAGCAGCCATAACATGCCTTGCACATCTTCCATGGCTGTGAGTTTGGGCTTGTCAGGAAGGTATTCATTGTTTAAGGGCTGCTCATAAATTTCAAGTCCTGTTTATGTTGCACTAAAGTTAAATTATGTGGCTAAAACCCCATCATGGTGACAGGGCAGATAAAACATTCCGACTTACCTGCTGTGATTCTTTAACACTTTCCTCTTGTTCAGTCCTTGAGCAGAGGCTGGAGTTGCTGGGCGAAATGAGCAGCAGTGTTTGAGCCAATACAGCACTTCATGCGTTTCAAACAAAAGTGCAACTGGTGTGAATTGAGCTTGCAGGGTGATTTTGCTTCATGTTAAAGATTGAAGCTATTAATAATTAACAGGAATGCTGTGGGCTTCTCTAAATGGTGGCTTTATCGGAGCTACTGTAGTGTGTGGGTACGGACACAGCCTGTTTGATGCATGTTTCAGTGAGATTTTAACAGCCTCTTGTTCCTGTGGCTTACTAAACAGACACTCACTGGAACTTCTGTAGGGCCTCACTGCTTTTACGAGTTATTTGTGCTTTTACCTGGGGACTGGGGAAATTACTTTCTACGCAGAAGGAGTGGATTGGGTGAGCTTATCAATGTTTTTTTTTTTTTCCCCCTCTGTTTGCCTTAATGGCTTAAGTAAATAAGTTGTAACAGTGTTTTATTTCTAGCTGTTGTTGTCCCTCAAGGCTTGCCAAGTTCCTCCTTGCAGTATCCTACTGCATTCTTGTATTCTGCCTCTCACCAGTCAGTTACTCTCTCTGGTGTTTGTTTGCAGCACAAAAGAGTTTGTTTATGGGAGTGCTCTTGTTTCTTATTTAATGTGTGCTGCTGAAATGTCCCTCTTCTGAACTCGAATGTGAAATTAGTGTACTGAGTCATAGCAGGAGCTTGAGCATGTGCTTTTGCTGAATCATCTAAGGATTCTGTAGGGCTACACAAGATACAAGGCTCTAAAAATTTCCCGCCCTCCCTCCCTACAAGGGATGACAAAAGAAATAGGAACAGCATAATAAAAAACTAGAGTGAGGCTGAAAGGGAAGTTGAGGCTAACTGGTTTCAATTATTTGATATGTTTGTAGCATTTATTTAATGTTAAGACTACCACTTTGAAGGGAGACAGTCTTGTAAGATTCTCACTGTTTGTCTCTTAAGCTGAGTGGTACTGCTTCTGACGTGTCCTCTAGCAAAAAACAGAGGTCTGGCATTTTTTCGTATTAAAACATTAGCACTGCTTCAGGGACAAGAAAGAAATAGATTGTAGAATATTCCACTACTCAAGGTACTAATCTTTTCCAGACTGACTTGGTGACATCTTTGTCACATCTTTTCCTTTATTCCCTAATGTCCCCAAATTTGGTTAAAACCAAGGCCTTCCATTCTGAAACAACCAGCCTGGACAAGTGATGGTAGTTAATGCTTAAATTTCAAAATGTAAAAAAAAAAAAATCTGAATGCATTTTATTCTATGTTGCTAAAATAGAAGTGTTAGAGTTGCTAATGCTATTTAATTGTTGTGCAAATCAATTGAAAGTTAATTTCTAACCTTAGTTGAGCTTACTTAACTGGCAATGTGCAACTGTAAAGTGTAAATCTGAATTGCAGAATGTTCCCTAGAGGAAAAAAAATGCATCTGAACTTGATGTTTGCTTGCATTTTTTTATTGGGTAGCAAGATGCAGTGGTTTGTTCTGGTAATACAATTTTCTGAATTTTTGTACAGTGGAGCATCTCCAAGTCTGCAATCCTGTTCTAATTAAGAATGTGCTTCTGTGATGGTTTGATGGGGGGGAGGGGGGCTCTGGGGGGGGAAGGTGTGGTTTTTAAGATCTGGCTTTGTTTCTTTTTTTATCCTCTCAACTGGTTTTGTTTCCATTTATCCTTTTAAGTAACTCTTAATAAATTACTTTGCTTTGAGAAAGCTGAGTCTGTTTTGCCCGGGACCATGGTTGGTGGGTGCTCCTTTTCTGTTCTTGTCTCAACCCTCAATCCTTTTATTATATTTTTTTCTCCTCTCCACTTCACTGGGGAAGGAGTGAGAGAGCAGCTGTGCAGAGTTTAGTTGCTGGATCGGCCTAAACCACAACAGCTTCCCATGTTAAAATGTATAGGCACACTTGTAAATTTGATGACAAATGAGTGGTAAGTCTTTCCAGCAGGCTTAATGTATAGGATAGTCTTGCCTCCTGGAACTCTTATTGCCTGAGCATTGCTTAAATTGAAAATGATAGATGTAAAAGAATGGGATGGCAGCCTGTGTATGAAGCGCTGCTGAATCCCTGTTAAAATGCAGTATCCAATAAAGCCTATGTTGCTTTCTTCTTAGATTAAAAATTTAAAGAAAGCTTTAAACAACTACATTTTTTACCAGGACTAGAATTGAATATGCAATTAGACTGTGTCATGATGACCAACACAGGAGAGACTTTACTAAAAGTATACTGTACCAAAAAGCTTACCTAGGTTCAGGTATTTGATAGCAAACCTTGAAATTTAACCTTTAAAGGCTTCATATACCTAATGTTGGAGTTCCTTGGCTAAATTCTGGCAGTAGGAAAAGTGACATGAGTTGTCAGACTTGAGAAAAATATACATTTGAAATAGAATTAAAGCTTAATGTTTTCAAACCTCAGAATTTGAAGTATGAATATAGTTTGGGTGCTTTTCAACAGGAGTTTTTCCAGATTGGTCAGATCACTGAATAGAGTTTACTTAATGCTGCAGATGTGAGCGTTGGCTGATGAAATTACCACATGTGGCATGGCTATGGCGATCTCTCATTAAATGAAAAATGAAAACCATCTTGAGTTTGCAGAGGAAATGCATGCAGTAGTTGTCCAGCAGTTGCTGGTGGTCACAGCTGTGTGGCTTTTGTCTTCTGTGAAAGATGCTGCTCTTTGGGTTCCACAGATGTGCTGGGTAATGTACTGGCAGCTTCAGTTGAGTCTAGCATGGTTATTTGCATCTGCCTGAGTCAGTGGTTGTTCGTGCAGTGGTGCCACGCTGAACTGGTGCAGCTGAAGTTAGTCACACCCTTGAATGACTGTTGTTTGGGCAGGCATACTCATAGTAGGTCCTCTGAAACTGGTACAGTGAGATTTACTGGATCTAATCTGTCAGAGCCCTTCTCTGGTCACAGTTAGAAATGCTGCGTGTGGTTTTAGCAATGAAACATTGATCTGACTGTGCACCTTCTGGTAGGAAGCAGTGGGTGTCATCGTCATGGCGCCGATGACTTTGCCCGTCTATTTTAGTTCCTCTAACGTGTGGCTGGTTAGGGAGTAAAGTAGGTTGTGGAAATTAAGCATAAGTATTGGGGTTTTTAAAGCTTTCTCAACCACTTCTCTACATCAGTGGCTCTCAGTTAGAAGTCAGGGTGGGGGGAAAAAACAAATTGATACCTTAGGGGTGTATTTCCATTTCCTAGCTGAAAATGGCTCTTAGTGCTCACACTCCCTTTATCCAGGTGCCATTAATAGGCTATAGTCTCAAAGTCTCCATGTCCCCTTTTAAGGCCAATTCAGCAGTAGTATATTATCTGCCAGTCTACAAAAAGATAGCTGCAGAGGCCTTGAATTGCTTAATTTTACACTTCTACACAGACTCTCTGAAATTATGGTTTGGTGGTTTTTGTTTCTCTTGTCTATCTTGAATTATTGCCGGTGACTGTCTCCTCACTCCCTTCTTAGTTTTGTTGGTATGTTTGAACTGAAAGAACAGCACAAGAAACTTGCTAAATGCACTTCCCTGAAAAATAAGTTGCACAAATGATGTGGATACTCTTCTGGTTATCTACATCTTAAAAAAGAGCAATAAATTTAGTTTCCAAATAAAGCAGGAGGATTTCTAGGGAAAATAAACAAAACCACAAGGTGAGTCGTCATTTTAATTTGCTGGTTAGCAGATAACTTGTTACCTTTGTTCCATGAAGATAAGTCCCAAATCTGTTACGATTCAATATAATTCTTCATGCTAGGCAGGACCTGCGTCTGAACGCTGCAGGAAGCAGGCCTTTTCCTTGAGTATTCTTCAAGTGTTCAGACTGAAGGCCTGTACTTATCAAGAATGGTTGTGCTTGATCTTGTTTTAACCTGTAGCAGCTTTTGGGTAGACGAGACAGGTAGGTATTAATTTACACTACCATGTAGAGCCAAAGAAAGCACTCTTCAGTCACTTACTGATGTAAAGTCAATAACTTGTTGCTTTTGGTAGTGTCTGGATTTCTAGTAATGCTGTTCTGAAGAGGGATTTTCTCAAAAGCCATCTCTGGACCTTGCTCTTGGTATCTGGCCAAGTGTAGTTATTTCCCATATTGCACAATCTTGCACAGTGAGATAGGATGAATAGAGCAAGGTAACAGCTCAGCCGTCCAGTGCCCCCGTCCTGCTCCGGTCAGCAAACGTGCTTACCTTGCTAGGCAGCCAAGGGTGTAGATGTGATGCCTCTGCAACCTGTGAACTGTGGAAAGATAAGTACTAAGAGGTCTTTTACATTTTGCCCAGAAAGTAGCTGTTGAAGCTGAACAATTATCACCTGCTAGTTGGTACAGATGCTAGTGCATACTTTGTTGCTAAAAGTGCAAGTCACAAGCTGTTTGTCTTCCTCTATCAATTTGATAAAGATCAGTTTCTTTCATCTGCTTAACCTGTTCTTGACACTGCTTTGTCTTGAAATCAAACATACTGGTTGATCCGGAATATGAGTTTGGCCACTTCCTCTGAAACAGAGGCAAAAAGCAGCTGGGTGGGTGGGGACTACTGCTATGTTAACAAATGCATCTATTCAACACAAGTGTAACCTCTTCACATTACAGTACAAAAAGGAAGGCCAGAATGTAACCAGCTACTGTAATGAGACTCTACCAGGATGGGTACACGATGTACTTGGCCACAACTGGGCTTGTTTCAGTGGTCAGAAGATTTCTTCGTCTCCCTCAGATATTCACATAAATGAGCTACCTATCCAGAAGCCCAGGGGAAGGTAAGTAACAGATAAGTGACCTTTTACTGGAATAAAACGTTTGGTAACTGTGCTACAGATTTCATCTAAAACCTTATGGACCAATTGTGTGACTGAGGGCAAAGTTAATGCCAGTGGCAATGTTGGGAATAAACCTGAATGCACAAAGATAGAGGAGGGTGTGCCTGCCACATCACGCGCTTTCTTCTTCAGTCTGTGGTGAAGCCCAGTTACAAAACTGGCATGTATAAAGATGATTGTAGTCTTCTAGCCTTCTAATTTCAGAAGCCTTGCCTTGATCCAATAATTGCATGTTTCTTTATCAGTACCTACCAGAAGTCACTCCCAGAGTTAGTCTTTTCCATATTCAGCTCAGAGAACACCTTTACTTTTCAATCCCAGTCCTTTTCTTACTGTTTTATTTGGTTGCTTTTGTTTGCAGGCTTTCAAGCAGACGTTATATGCACAACGTTGACTTTGTAAATGCTATCAATGCTCGACAGAAGTCCTGGAGAGCAACAAGATACAAGGAGTATGAGAACTTTGCCCTGGAAGATCTGACTAGAAGAGCTGGAGGTCTCTATTCTAGAGTTTCAAGGTATTAAGGCCTTTTGTTTTATCATAAACCCTACTGCTGCAAAGAATTTGCTTGTACTTGTCCTGGCTGTTTCTAGATGTGGTTTGGCTTGTATTTCAGATGTTTAATCAAGTTTCAAGGCCTTACAGCTCATTTTCATGGAGTGCCAAAATATTTCTTCATTTGAATGATTATTCTGAGCATCTGTTGTTTCAAGTAGTTGAGACAAATAAGATCATCTACCCTTTTATCTTGCCCAGTAATTGCTGCTGAATTCATATGTGCAGGGAAGAAGTGGGGACAGTCTGTTGTCATCTCAGTTTCCTGACTACCTATCAGCTGCTTGCCCTAGTGATGAGTTTCTGCTTGACCATCTTCCTGGTTCTGCTAGTTCATAATTGTGATTAAAAAGTGATGAACCACATTCTGCTATTAAATGTAAATAATAAAGATTTTTCTGAGGGATTTTCCTGGTTATTTTGAAAATTTGCCATGCCTGCAAGCATAGTCTGGAGTAGAGTGTCTTGGTGAAGAAGCATAAAGTAGCCCTGAGAATGCCTTCATGGTCTTGCAGATCACATGGCAGAGAGTGGCTAATGGGATGGATGCATGGTCCCCTACATTAATTTAAGAACTAGAATTCTTTGATCTGAAGATTCCCTTTTTTACAGCTATTTTACCTTCTTTGTACTTTTGCATTTTCCACTCTGGTACTGCTGTGTGTAGGAATGCCACTTAATTTTCCAGACCATGGCAATTGTATTTTTGTAGAAGAAGGTCTTACTGTACAATAAAAATTCTGATTTGCATGGGAGTATCATGGAGACTACCATGGTTTCATCCTATAGACAGAAATCTTATTTAGATAGCCTTAAATACAGTAACCTATTTGGAGACCTATTGCAGCATGCAGTGCCATGACAGTGTTTTGTTGGCCCTCTCATGCTTTCAGAACAGACTCCAGTGTCTGGTGTTTGTGAATGGTGCTTATTGCATGGCTTATGGGACAAGCATCAAGTTATGTGAAAGCTGAATGCAGGAACCTCTTGGCTTGCTGACATATGAGCATCACTTGGCTGCAAGTGGTAAATGAGGACAAGTAACATTCAATACTTCTTCAATAGTCACATAAAAACTTGTTCCAGCGAAGTCTCTGGGGCAAGAGGGACTGCAGTTATTGAAGTGTTGAAGTAAGCTGTGTCTGCAATTAAACAGTCTGTAGTTGCTATCGGTGCATGCTGCCAAGGCAAAGTGCCTCCTGCAGTCAGGTATTCTGCATACCTCGTGGTGGCAGAGGTGTAAAACAGCTGTTGCTGAGCTGCATTGCTACAGTCACTGAGAGATACCTCAGCACTTCAGATTGGTTCATAAGTATTTGACCTTACCAGCTTGTGGATAGTTCATGATATAGTTCCCTCAGGGAGGGATTTTAGTAGGTTTTA